GCGCACGGCTTGTCATTTGGCATCGCTCCAGTCATACAGTTCATGCCATCCAGCGGTTTCGTAGAGTTGGAATTAGTAAAGAGACAAGTTTGTGAACACCAATCCGTAGAAATCGAAATGAGCTCGGAAGATCATGTGCATGGAAGGATATGTCGTTGCTTTTTCGCAACGTAATGACTAGTACTGGAACACATGCTGGAAGGAAGAAAGAAAGAACATCCTGAAAGGCGGTGCTTAGCACCGACCAAATCCGTAGATAAAGAGTTTCAAGATCTCAGGCAATCCCTGGTCGCTGATGCTTAGTAGGATCAGGGGAGACGACTGGATCTCAAAAGACGGCCTTGAGGCAGTTGTAAACCTTCAAGTTTCAAGTCCTATGCATCTTGTGGCATACTTACCTATCACCGGCAGGAATGTAAGAAATATAGCAAGTTCAACGATGGATATCAACATGAAAAGGAAATCCGACGAAATTTATTATGGATAACAGGCGGGAACTAAATAAAAAATATACCAGTAATGGATAGAGCAGAGGAACAGGACAGGAAGCTCCGAAATACAGTCATGTCCCGCCTTGTCAGACACCATCCTTATCTTCTCCACAGGTAGCAGTGTCCTCTCCTTTTGAAAGCTAGTCCAACGTGTTCCACAATCCTTCACGGTCCCGAAAACATTGGCCATGGGAGGTCTGACAAGGGATAATCAGTAACAAGTCTACACAAAAATACGAGTATCAGATTGTCAAGTTGTGGAGCACACCCTCGAAAGAGGTCAACTCCTTGAAGAAATTCAACGAAAAGAAAAACCAACATCATAACCAACGAAAAGGAAACCAGTTACTCACCATAATAATTTGGAAGTTGCGTATGATACAAACGGAACGAACGGCGAACGCTCGGAGGCTCAAAAAAATAATGCACGAAGGCAGCAAACCGCATCGAATGAGAGTGAGCCCCATTGAGTTGAAGACATGCCAGAGGCAGTCGACAATCGCATAACTATATCTATGAGCAACGAAGCGCCAACCATTTTCCAAGACAACCCGAACATGACCACGCTCATATCTTCGCATAGCCATGCAGTTGTAAGAGCACTTGAAGTCAAGTCAGCAACAGGGTGGAGAAGGGGAACTGGTCCTGAGCACAGTGGCAGCAGGTCCAGTAAATCGATCTTCCCGACCATCTCGTTCCCCACAGCGCTCTTAGAGCTGGGAGCTTTCCTTTGTAAACGAGGAGGTACAGCCCTGTTTCTCCGGGGACTTTCCCCACAGCGAAAGAAGAAAGTAAAATCTTTCTGTGCGTGTGCTGTGACGGCGATTCTTCAGACGATGCGATGAAGAAAAACAAAATTTGTGTCGGCTATAATCGGGGGATTTAAGCTCCGACAAAAATTGGCCGAGAAGCCGGCTGCGGGGATGCCAGCATGCACGGTTGCACTACTTATGAGTAACTCAATGGACTCTCCAGAGGCGGAAAACAAGGACTCTCCTGGTACGGGGCTGTCTCCTAATACTTCTGTTCAATCCACCGCGCGCAAGGAATCACCAGGGCGCTCCAGCATGTGGCCTCTCCCCTCCATTTCAGTGACTCGACACCCAGCAGGCAAGCTTGATGTCTTCTTTATTGTATGGATCCAGGCTTAACATCATCCGTACATTTACAGGAAAGTTATCACCGCAAACCGATGAACGTTGCTTTTCCTACTGCTCTCAGACTACTCGCGGACGTACCGAGGGCCGTGAGCCGACGTGTCGTTCGGTGTGCTTCCGCAGGGTCTTTGCGCATGAGGTTAGAACAGCAATTGCACACGATGAAGCACTCAAGGGGAAGACGCCGCAGAAGGATTATGGTTACCCTCTCCCACCCGAGGGCCAGCCCAACCCAGACAGCTTATCTTCATCATCGCCCAAGTCTGATGATATACGGTATTGGGAGGAGGGTTGGTACCTCTGGACGAGTAGGAGCCGGTGGGCAGCGCAAGAGAGGCTGGACCTGATGATGTGGGATTTAGATCGCCAGGCTCACTGGCAGCAAAAGAAGGATCAAGTGCAGAAGGAGTGGGACGATTATTGGGCCCAACACCAGCGACAAGCCGAAGAGCAGATTTATGGCACGCATACCACCAAGGGTGCATCAAATAGTATACAGCTCGAGGGCACGCCATATCCAGTTGATGGTCAAATGCTCCCCAAGCAAGAGGATAGGTATCCATGGTGAGTCATTTATTACCTTGGCCGTCATTCAAGCTAAATTATCTTTGGTTCAGGCAAGACTCTACATTAATCAAGCTACCTCCACCAATCACTCCACTGTTGGAGCCCATTCGCGACCTCCTTTCACCATCCTTCAAGGTTTTGACCACTGTGCAACGTAGTTTCGAATCGGGTGCACATGCCGAACTAGCTGCTCGCATGTGGGAAAAGGCAAGGACACCCGACCCCTTTATCCTAGCGAGTACGGTTTGCAGGAAGATGTGGGAGAAATGGAAGGAAGGGCCCCCAGACTCTGACACCACTTCGGATATTTGATAACTTTACCTGCAGTTTATACCTCTGCTAGAACACTATTCACAATTCAATTTTCTGGGGTGCACCACAAACATATATTCCAACCTCCGACGCATCGAACTCGCCGATTTACGTAGAGATTCTGAGGACGATTCTGTTGTCGATGTTTGGTCGTCAGAATCGAGTGGAACTGTGAATTGGCCTGAATAGTTGAATCGGCTCTGGAGCCGAATTAGCGATTCGTCGTTCAGGTGATTCGCTCTCTTACCATTTGACATAACTAAACATGTATCATTTTCCCCCGAATTAGATATGCCAGTCGCGGGAAAGTCCCGTTGATGTCACCGACGCTCAATGGTGAAAGCCGCCTGTAATGCCCAGGAGCAACAAGAAATCAAAGAATGCGGTATCATCATAGGCAGTCCGAAGTTCCGCATCAACCCTCGGGCACACTGGCGCGGTGTGTAGGAGCCTTGGCGAAGGAACTGGGATGGTACCTGGTAGTAAGTACTCTTAAAAAGAAGGATCGACTTGCCTTCCGTTTTTCGAGGTCTGACTACGGGAGAGTCCACCCTACGGCAAGCATGCAAGACAAAAACTTTGAAGGCCTCGCAACTGTGGAGGACCCGAACCTGACTAGAGTGAGATTCGAACTCACGCCCTTTCGGACTGGATACATGGTCCTGATTCCAGCGCCTTAGACCGCTCGGCCATCTAGCCATGTTGGAAGTTTCGCATTATTTAATGATCATGGGTGGGGTTGCCGTTTACTCGCAAGCCACTTCGATCATCCCACGATACAGAAGGGTATAGAAGGAACGATAATTGACCCATTGACCCAAGGCATCGAGGAATGAAGAGGCTACATCATCATCCGTTACTTCACTGTCTAACTCCTCTCTACCACTAGTACTCAGGCGAGGCAGCCGTAAGCTCTCACTTACTTATCCTGCAGCTGCCATTTTTGCGCATAGGCGCATCGGAAGCTGAGCCAGATCACCGAAGCCTTTATAAAATACCGTCGCATCGATTCTGGCATCTCGCTGACGTCTTGATCACACCATGCAGCGGGTCTTTTCCACTTGTAAAAGCTGACACTTATCATCGTAGCCTCCCACCTATTTGAAATTGCTCGATGATGTCGGGATAAAGGAATTGAGTTGGCATTTTCTTTTTGAAGTGAACGTTACTTCGACAAGAAATCAAACAATCGGTTGAGTGCATGTTAAGTAGGTGATAACATCGTGTGGGTTATTCAAGCGCAACGATCGGCATAACGTTCAAGAACGTTGCCCACATGCACACGTTCTACTCCATTCTTCAATTATGCTAGCGTCAAGATAAGTTCCACCACTAGTACTAGTAGGAACATCCTGGGGAAAGCAGAGATGCGTTATCATCTTATCACAAGATCAAACTAACGATGTCCAGATCTCAGATTGACCATGTATGACAACGCAATCTGGGACCATTCACTTGACGTGGTCTGCTAAACTCGTGATCACACAGTCTAATGTAAACTATTGAATCGCTATGGTACTTAGGTTCCACCTCATCGAGAATCTGAGCCGCATCCAGTTGAGTGAAAAGAAGGGTATATTTAGCACCATGACAAGTCGGTGAGTGAGAGCCGGAGAGTAACAAAGGTTCAAAGAGTAGATTAGCTACAGAGATCTCGATTCGAAACATGATGGCAATTTTAGTGGGGCTGCCAAATCTAAGAAGCCTTGAAAACGAAGGAACGTCTGTTTTCATTCTCTCAAGATCTAACTACGACCGGGCAGACTATGATTTCAAAGGTGACAGTTGGGTGGGAAATATTTTTCCTATGATATGCTTGTTCTTCTCACCCATCAAGCCAACGACTGGCCATGCAGTCCCACACTCGACGTTCGACGGTAATACTATTCAATCCTCGTCGTGGATTTTGTTGAATAAATCACTACCACTACGAAACCGGTACCTTTCTCCACCTTGGGAGTATTTTGGTGCACTGACAGAGCATGCCGCAGTGCCTCGGCCTTCCACACGCGCCGCGCATCATATCGATATCAATTGTCGCCATTTTTCGACGAGCTTGATGTACTGAATCATGATTTCTGCCAGTGGAACCACTCGAGGCTCGCCGTTATTTACTTACGCCGGCCAGCCCCATAGAACTTACTTTGTGCCTGATTACCTTGCATAGACATCCATATCGACCAGCCAACGCATTGCGGCAGATCAGCCAGATGATATCAATCTCTTGGTACACAGACTACTTACACATGAAGTTCGACACCTTGCTATCGGTTACCACTCGTTCGGGCATGCGGTGCTCAGGCATGTGCACCAACAACGCTCTTGGTCGTTTCTCCAGAATCAACTTTGATAACCGATAGTCACTCGATGGGATTTGCTGACAAGTCACCATTGAGACACCTTTGCCCATGGCACCAGCACCTTGAGAGTCTTTTGGCACATACCACAGCGCCGCGGTCTTACACGCAAATACTACTATTTGCTGCCATTCCTTCTAGCAAATTGTGATTTCTGGAACTACCCCAAATGTTCACTGTGACTTGTCGGTCAGCACTTGCTTCATGCAGAGCAGGCCTACATATTGCCCTGCCCATGGTGGCAGATGGCCGGGTCGCAATAATCTCGGGATCTCGGGGTCCGTAGACTTTTTATTTTGGGTTTGGAGTTCTAGCATTCAACACCTTATCAATTCTCAGGACGACTTTGGACCATTCACGCACGTTGAATTCTTAGGCAGACTTGTCAAGCAAATCGTAGTTCTCACTGTCCTACAGCCTTATGGGGACCAACATTCACTTGCGAAGTCTGCCCATTATTCTTGTGATAAGCCACTGAACGTGTGGAACTCATCTGATTAGACAAGTGGGGTGGTCCTGAGATATTGAGCCATCAGCTATCAGGAGGAACTATCACAGAAGGGAATCATTCAAGAAGTGAAGCTTTCGGCCGCTCTCCTGGAAGGCTTATAAAAGGCCTGCAAGGTATCTACCAGCCATTCCATCGCCTTATTCACCCCTCCGTACAACCCTTCACCAGATACGACGATGGCCAACAAAGCAAAACTCGAGACGCTCCTAACTCTGATTAACACATCTGCACGAGATGCCATTGCTCTATACGAGCAGCACGGTGGCAATGTACCGTCCATGGACCAAATCGAACCCCATCCATTGGATGATGCCGTCGACCAAGTCGCTTTGAAGACTGCTATTCGTACGCTTGAAGGTGCTTTTGCTCAGTTAAGCACCACACTTGCACCTCCCGCCCACACTGCAATCAATGTGAGAACCTGGATAATATAATGCATCTACTCTACTTTTGCTGATCTGGTTGCATGCAGCTTGTCCAAGTGTACGACTATGCTTGCATGCGAGTAGCTGTCCGAGAGAATATCACCAATGTTCTGTTGAACTACCCTAAGGGTATTCACGTTAACGAGCTCTCCAAAATAATCAGCATTGAGCCCAAGAAACTCGGCAGGCTGATGCGTCTCCTGGCCACGCGAGGTTGTTATAACGAAGGTAAGGTGTCATTCATTGCCTGGCTCGATTTCATCTCAGAATCTGCCAGTTGACATGGATGTATTTGCCAACAACCGTCT